TGATGGTTTGTCATGAGGTATTATGGTTTTATGGAGGCTGATTTGGCCTCTTTTTCTTAGTTGGAAGCTTTATCTCAATGTGTTACTAGGGAGTTGAAGTTGTTAATGAAGGCATTAGGGTGGTTTCTACTGTATACGATAGTAAGGATTTGTATAAAAGGAGGAAGTTGTGGGATTGATTGGAATTGCATTCTAGCTTGAGCTTTCCTTCAGTAATGATCAGGGGAGACTTCAATTATATCTTGTCTCAAGATGAAAAAAGGGAAGGGAAGAAGTTTTCCTTTTCTCTAAGTCCTCAAGAGATGAAATCATTTATAAAAAATAATGATTTTCATGATGTGTGATTAGTTGGACCTAAGTTTACTTGGTGCAACAATATAAGTGGAAATGCATACATTTTGGAGAGACTTGACAGATGTTTATGGAATCTAAGGCTTTAGAATCGATACAACATGCTTCAGTTAAGAACTTGGCAAGGGTCTCTTATGATCATTGTCCCATTATTTTGAAAATATTCCACATGAATTATTATAAAAATAAAATTTTGTGGTTTGAAGAAGTTTAGGTGTCATATCCTGCTTTAGCATTAGTGGTGCTTAAGTCGAGGAGAAACTTGCTGGTAGCGATGCTATGAATGTCCTCAATAGGAAATTTCATAGAGTTTTGAGGGTTTTACATTTTTGGAGCAAAGCTAAACTTCAAAACTTATTGGATTTAAAGGAAAAACTTAAAAAGGAAGTAGCAGATCTTCAGTTGGAGGAAGTGAATGGTGATGGGTTTTCTGACTATAGCCTTATGTTACTTAGGCCCAAGATTAATGAATTGAATGTTACACTTGCTCGCTTGAATATTTGGTGGAGATAAAGGGAAAAGGTAAAGTGGTTGGAAGAAGGTGACATGAATTCTAAATTCTTTCATGCTTTTGCTAATGGAAGAAGGAATGAAAATTTATTAACCAAGTGAAAAATGATGATGGTGATCTTATTGAGGATCAGGCAGTTATTGAAGGGATCTTCTTTAATTTCTTTAGCAACAAATGGAGGTAAAAGAATTGTGATCTAAAGGGCTAGCCAACTGCTATGAATTCCTTAAGTCAGGAGGACTGTAATCTCTAGAATTCTGATTTTTCATTTGAAGAAGTGGTAAATGAGGTTAAAGTCTTGGAAAGGATATTTTCCAGGTTCTTATGGTATTTCTTATTATTTTATAAAAGCTTATTGGAATGTAATTGGTAAAGATGTTTGGCATGTTATCCTTCAGTTATTTTCTTCAGGTAAGAAGTGTTCCAAATGGAAGGAGACTCTTGTTGTTCTTATTCCTAAAGTTAATAATCCATTAGTTCCTTCTAATTTTCGTCCTACTAGGCTTTATTTGTCAATTTACAAGATTGTTGCCAAGATTTTATTAAATAGATTGCTGAAGTTATTCATAGTTTGATTTATGATATTCAAGTTGCCTTTATCAAAGGAAGGACTTTATTGGACAATATTCTTCTTGCTCAACTCTTCTATAAATTTAGATGCTCCAAGTCCAAAAAAGGATTGGTGGCTACTAAAGTTGAGAGCAAGCTTATGATAATATGGCTTGGGCTACTCTAAGGCAGGTTTTGGAGTATTTTGGATTTCCTCTTAAATTCTCTAACCTTTTGATGGAATGTGTGGTGGCATAAATTTTTAGTTCAAATTAATGGAAAGAGTTCTAAGTGGATTGAGGCAAAAAGTGAATTTAGGCAAGGTTGTATGTTATCTTTATACTTGTTCATATTGTGCTCTCAACTCTTGTCTAATGCTTTTCTTCATGAAGGGAGGAATTTGGGCATCAAAACTTCTTTTACTGCTCTGAAGATTTCTCAACTATTGTTTGCTAATGATATTGTTATGTTTTTGGAAGCCATGGTCAAGTATTTGAAGAAAATTAAAAGAATAATTTCTTATTATTATAGTTGGACAGGTCAAAGAGTTAATATCCAAAAATCTTCCATTATATTTGGGAAATCTATATAACAAAATAAGAGGAGAGCTATCTCAAACTTGTTGGGATACAAGGAGGTGAAGGAGTTGTATTACTCTGGTATCAAAATTGCTTTGAGGAGGTTGGTTTCGTCTAATTTCCTCAACTTATTTGAAAAATCTGCTAGTAAAATGAATGCGTGGGGCAATGGGTTCATCTCATTAGCAGGAAGGTTGGTGTTGGTTTTGAGCATCTTAAAAGAATTTGATAAGATGTGTGGGAATTTTTTAAGGAATAAATAAGGTGGTAACTATGGCTTTCATTATGTTGCTTGGGATGATCATTGCAAACAGTTGAGTTCAGGAGGGCAGGTGCTTCATTAAGTTATCTCTGTAGTTGGACCTTTGAGAGCAAAATTTGCTTGAAATTTTCTCAATAAACAAGATTATTGTCTTAATAAGTATTTGTGTGCAAGATATAGAATTGATATTTGGCAGGCTAATTCCAAAAGAATTAGCTCAATCAACTGGAGGATCACGCTTAGTGGTTCAAAAGCTCTCAGGGCAGTTGTGAGATGGAGGGTTGCATCAAGTTATTCTATTAATACCTTAAATGATACATGGGTATTAGATAAAAGCTTCGATAGATGGCCTATTGTCATTGCTGTGTTGGATAGTGATTTTTCTACACTTGGCAAGTTCATTGTTGATGGTAATTGGAACTATGCAGAGCTTCTTAAATATTTTGGGAAGTCCTTGATTGTCATTATATTGCAAATCCAAATTTTTCGAGAATTTTTGAATGATCGTCTAGAGCTAATCAACAAGTTTTCTGGTAAAACTGCTGCTGCCATGGCATCGAATTTGGCTATAGATGATTTAGCAAAGGTAGATTATTAGAGGTTGATGAAGAATTTGAAACTTTCACCTAGGGTGGATTGCTTTTGGGGGTGATTGTTGAATAATACAGTTCCTACTACTGATTTCTTAATGTATAAAAAACTGTTGGATTATAATTATTGTCCTAGAGGGTGTAATGCAGCGGAGAATTCAGAGCATATTGCAGTTAACTATTCCAAACTCATTCAAGCTATTGCATTGGTTAATAAATAGGGTATTTCAGTTCCTGTGTTCTCTTCTATTCTGGATTGCAAAAGTAAATTGGAAATGTTATCTAAGGTTAATCCTTTCATTGTAAATGTTTACTATTCTTTGGTCTTTCTCTTGGAAAAATAGAAACAAAGTTAAGCATGGAGGATAGGAGCTCAGCTTGGGTTCCATTGCTTCAAATGCAATTAGTTTTGCATCAATTTCATCAAAATTTAATCTTTTTTCGGACCAATGGGTTGTTAACCAGCTTCCTCAGCTGATTTCTCATTATTGGCACCCTCCTCCACCTGAATGGATTAAAGTCAACATTGATGCTACTTTATTGCGATCAAATGAGGCTGGTGCATGAGGCATGTTTAGAGACCACAGAGGAAGATTCCTTCTTGCTTTTGGATTCAAATGTATTCATAACTATTGGCATTCCGTCCGTTGAAAATGATAATCCAAGAGTGGATGTTGGAAGCTAAAGGCATCATTTTAAGGGAGACAATTATAATATAATTAAGTACTGCAAAGGTCGGTTGGCAAAGAGTTTCGAAATGTGGATAATGGCAAGATGGAAGATTTGTCTTTCTTGAAGGATTTTGGCAATCTTTTATTTCATTTTTCTAATAGAAATTGTCATAAGTTAGCCAATTCTTGTGCTAACTTTTCTTTAGATGGTGATTTTTTTGGGAAGAGTTAAGTTGTAATAAGGCTCCTCCTACTTTTCTTTATTTGTTAAAGGAGGATTGTGATAGTCTACCTATCACTTAGTTGGTTGTATTAAGACTTGTTTATCTTTAATGCTATATGCATATTCTCAAAAAAAAAAAAAAAAAGGTTGAATAAGGAGGTTTTTATGAATATGTAATTGAGTTCTTTAGGTATCCTAATTGCCTCGTTGGATTAAACTTGATTATAACAGAGTTGTCTCAATCGAATAGACATAATTATGCTAATCATTGTATTATAGTTAAGTTTCAAGTGGTTGGTAATTATAGGTAATTATTAATTAAAAAAAAAGTTTCAAGTGGTTGGTCCTATATCAATAGCACATTTCGAATCAAGACAACCTTTAATGACACCTAGTCCGTTTTCTATTTCATACAAGATGCAAATTATGTTTAGAAAATAGGGTGGATATGTAGCCCAAAATAGGAAATCATGTCTGTTATGCAGTAACAATGATAACTTGGTCAACCTCAATGGTAAAAGACATAGGAATGGTAAAAAGAGCAAATGGAGACGAGCGTATTAAATGACATAAATGTATAGCTCAATCATTGGTGTAATGCTCATTGAAGGTAATCGTTCAACGACACTGGTACCGAACGTGGATTTCTCTCCGAAGCTATCTTCAAAGCTTGACTTCCTCTCCAAATTAATTGATTTGAGGAGCAAGTTATAGATTTCTCCACGAGTATTTCAACCTATATGACAAATATTCTTCACATTTATTAGCATTTGATCATGGTAAATAAACTCCTCTATGATTGTAAATATATCAAATAATATTACTCATTAGTCTGAAGTTCATTGAAGACAACATCACACATTAACATGATCCAATGTTGTTGAGATGCTACTCCAAACAACATGTGCCGAAGAGGCTAGTCTAGAAAACCCTCGCTACCACCAACTTTAGCAACGACATATAGTCTTCTCACAAATGAGGTAGAAGCTAAACCTGGACAAGTAGATCCAACCAAAATCAGGACAATCTACTTTAAACCAATTGATTTAGTGTTTTTAGGTCCCAAACATTTGAGTTAGGCGATTCAACAGTCTACATATTTGTCACGAATGCACGAAATCTAATAAAAATGATCATTTTGTTATGATTTTGTTGAGCATCTGAATTGGCTAATCTGATTTTAAAAAATTCCCAGCTTTGATCTCTTTGAATTACTTTGACATATATACTTTGTCTAAAAATCTACGATTAATTAGATAAGACTCTTGACAATCCAACGAGCTTAATAAATTCACAACACAGCTGGGTAAATCAAAATACAGATGGTATAAGGTGGATTGCCCCATGAAAAACATTACCTGTGAAATTTACATGTGTGAAGGTCAAACAACTTGGAAAATAAAACTAGTTATCTGGCATGTGCTCCCCCTCTTTGGGAGATTATCTCAAACAAAGTTTATATCAGGCAACCACAGTTCAATGCGTGTCCCACCTGTACCAAGCGCGGCATCCAGCTTTCGAGGACTTAGAACGCGTATCACACAGCCATAACTCTCAAGAATTTCACGAGCAACTGCAAGACCTGCAACAAAATTCCATGTCATGTTGTCCTCCACCCTTCCACTCGAAAGCAGATCAGTACCAAATGGCGCTAGAGTATGCATCTGCGTCTGCAAAAACAGCAACAAAATGTGGTAAGAAAATCTGGATGGAGAAGAAAAGAGATTAGTATCGTTTTTTAGTAGGAAAAAATGATTACGAGGTATTCTGATGCAATTTTTGTTGGGATGATAAGACAAAATGAGTCAGAAAATCTTGATCCAATTGTATACAAATTGCAGCATCATATTATTATTATTATTATATATATATATACGGACATCATACAGATTTGCTAGCAAAAACAATCACTGGAATATTTTATTTCAGTATATTAGCATAGTGCTACGTACAGTAAAAAAAATTAAAAAAAAATAAAAAATAGTGCTACGTGCAGTACTGAGCTGTTTTTTTTTTATACAGGATGTACAGACTGTAAAGGACAATGACAGTATTGAAATGCAGGATGCAAATCTCTGATGTGTGATAATAACAAAGAAACACCTGCACTAAACATATGAAAGAAGTTTTACTCTTCATATATTAACTTTCTTACTAACCCCCGGTCACTAAAAAATAAGATATGAAGCACAGTTGTAGAAATTTGTTTCATTGCGAATGGATCGGATAATTATGTTCAAAAGTCAAAACTATTGAACTTTAGTCTAACTAAAAATCAAAATTGATTCATTACGATTCAAGGATGACAAGCTAAAAAATAATTTTATATAAATTTATAAAATCCTTTTAAAAATTAGATCTTGGAATTGATCATTTTATTTTAACTCAATTCTAGATGAAATAAAAATCCTTAAATTCGAGTTGAAGTCTGATGATATCACGGCAAAATTGCAAACAAGGAAAACGTGCTCTTGCATCGTAATAGTTGAGTATTTAAAAACATAAACCCAAAGAAGATAAATATTTGAAAGCCGAAAGAAGAAGTAATAATTACCATGTAATGCATATCAGGTCCATTATCATCAATCACAATAAGAACTCCACCAGCTGGTGTTGTAAGTCCATATATTTCAACTTTGCCACCAACACGTGTGCGCAGAAGAGCACCTTCTATAAGATTGCTGAGTGCCTGTCGCAAAGAAGATTCTTCAACTGCAGCCAACAATGAATGAGGCAGTTCACAGAGTTCCAGTGAGCGTTGCTGCTTACTAGCAAGTGCTGCTGCAGCCCCTGCTAAATCCCTCAACACATCCGATGCATTGCATGGTCTGTCTAGCAAAGAAAGAATCGTCATTTTTTTTTACCTTTTATTTTTACAGGCAAACCATTTCATTCCATTTTAAAAATGAGTAAATGGAGTCTTCATAACATTACAAAGCAAAAAAGAAGAAGAGGGGGTTGGCCAACATTAAAAATAACGTTAAAAAAACATTAATGTATTTTCTTGCCTTTAAAATTGCTTGAAAACATGCTTGGCCGTCTCATAATCAATTTTTGCAAGTTTCAAAGTCCATTTTCAACCTTCTCTGAGCACCCCACTTGGATTTTAGTAGAGTTTGTTATTCAAGCTAATGCAAACTTTGAAAGCCTCTGAAAATATGAAATCTTTAAGGATGCTCCAATAAAAAAAAAAAAATTCAAATGACTGCTTGTATTCCGTCGCCATCCCATGTTTGGAAGATGGGGTTTTTAAAGTGATTTATGACAATGGTTAAAATACTTAGAATAAATGTCATGATAATAATAATATTAATAATGTTCAAGATGAGTTTTAAACATAATAAAAAATATAAAGTATATTAATTTTTTTCCATATTTCAAATATAGCTCTATTTTAACCATAATTTCAAGCTCTCAATCCAAATTGTTTTCTAAAATTTTTCCAAGCTTTTATTCTACATTACATAGGCTCAACCAATTAATTATCTTCTATTTCATGACAAATTTTTTTATAAGAACATGAAGAAATTAAATTAACTCTCTACCTTCTCTCAAATATCAATGGAATTTACCTGAGACTTTGCAAAGCCTTAGTTTATTATCGATGGTTGTCTTTTGCAAAAACTCAGTTTCTCATCAGTGGCCGTCTTTATAAGCTTGTTAGTTGGGTTCTAGTAGAATTTATTTCATTCCAATGTTTTAAAAGCAAGCTGGATTGGCCTATTCGTTCATGAACCGATCATGCAGCTAGTTTGGGTGAACTCAATAACCAACTTTACACTAAACCAGATAGAACCCGCATGAAACGTAGGTTCGACTAGGTAACCGTCAAATCGATCCTAGTTAAAGCTAACCAGTTGGTTCCCCTCTTCATTTGATCGCATGCAAATAGTGACATAGCGTCGTCAATCTTAGTATTGACCTATAGATATGTTTTATAGTCAATCAAGTGCCGGAAGTGGCGACAAACAGAGGTCATATGTAACGATTACCAAAGTGCTTCGACCGTAGTCGAATCACTCAAACTTCATCCTACTACAAAACACATTGCGTCGACGAATTAAAAATATCAAATTTGCCAAAGAATAGTCGTTCACATGAAAATAAACACGATCAAGCAAAATAAGTAACCATTGGGGAATGTAACACTGTAAAAAACTACACGAATGACATATGAACGTCAAACAGATTTCACGGATGTAATTGGAGACCTCTCGTAAATAAATCAAGTGAGATCAATCAAAATTGACAAATTATAGATGGAACGTAGCGTGACATTACCATAAGATCGTTTGTCAGTGAAACAGACTTCACATTGCATCTGGAACATTGAGAATACACAAAATTGGCGAAATATTTCTTAAGTCACCGCACAATATGAAAAGGCAAAATTGACATGAATTTCGAGGCGAAGATGCACAAACTTATACAAAACAACATCCAATTGCAAAATGGACTTTACCATTGCGTTCAAAACATAAAAATTACCCAAAGAATGACTCCTCGCAAATGGATCAAGTGAAGGCGATCAAAACCGCACAATGCGAAAAGCATGTTTCAAGAAGCATGCTAAGACATTGGAAGGCATGCAAATAAATTGAAAGAGTGAGCATATACAATGTAATGCAATAAAATGTGTAATACATTGCACAAACGTACCAAAATATGTGCGAATACATTGAGAATATGAATATGCACCATGTAAGTGCTCCGAAAAGCATGCAAATGTGCAGTGTAAAAGCATCATGTGTCTACATTATCCAAAAATGTAAATACATTATGAATATGCGATAAGTCACATATAGATACATTATGAATATATCTACCTAGCATGCAAACGAATTATAAACATATACTCAGTGACGTGCAAAATGCATTATGCAAACATACATCATCTAATATGCAAATGCATTATATATTGTAGTAGCACATTATACCGATATGTAAATACATTATACGTTACACAAATGCATTAAGTCACTATAGAAATGCATTATGCAAATATACAAGCAACACATAAATGCATAATGCATGTACGCTATGCAACATGCAAAGCATCATGCAAACATGTATACAATATGAAAAGGAATCATTCACGCATGCTAAGCAGCATGTGGATATATCACATGAATGAATTATATCATCATGCAAAAACATTAATCATCAGGCAAGTGCATTGTGTCAATCATGCAAATACATCATGCCACCCATATAAGTGCATTATTCTAATTAGTAAATGCATTATGAGAGTTATGCAAATGCATGATGCTACTCTTGCAAATAGGACAATAATGTGAATGCATCATGCAGACCCTGCAAATATATCATACCAATCATACAAACATTACCTGCTAATCATATAAAAAACATGATGATCTAAGTACAATGTATATCAAGCACGTCATACAAAATGCATTTGTCATCTTACAAATGCATTATACAAAATGCACCGAAAAATATGTATAATATTTGAAGAAAATTAGATTACCCGCAAGTGATCTGACCATAACTCCTAATCCTAAGGTTTGAGAATGCCGTGCATATTATATTTCAAGACCAATCCTCCACCTTGGAAGGACTGAAGTTGACACGACTTGAATTAATGAACAAACGCATGATCATAAATCTACCAAGATATTTAATTTAAAGTTCACATTAGGCCTTCAAAGGATCTTCAAATGAAACTCATCATAACAAGCTCTCGGTCCTGAACGTTCATACAATAACTCATAAAAGCAATAATCATAACTGATCCTCTGTTGGAAGATTTGGTATTTAAAATAAAAATTTTCACCATCCAGCACTTAAAGCGGATGATAGGGGAATGGATGATGGGCCCGAACAAGATCCCATGGTTCCGTCATCCCGGGCCATCGTG